TTTCTTACAATTCGATTTCAAAATTGAAAAATTAAGATTTTCAGTTTATATCGATTTTCTCGACATTCACCAATGACTGAAATATGTTTGAATATGTAAATTAAAGATGAAGATTTATGGAATACAATTTATTTATGTGCACAATTGTAGCTTTTTTGGTTTTCTTGTCATTCTATGCCAAAATTGAAAAATTGAGACTATAAGTTTTTAGCAATTTTGTCAATGTTCATGAATGACTGAAATATATTGGAATATGTAAATGAAATGCAAATATTCTTTGAATAAAATTTATTTAAAGAGCTTTCTTACAATTCGCTTTCAAAATTGAAAAATTAAGATTTTCAGTTTATATCGATTTTCTCGACATTCTCCAATGACTGATATATCTTTGAATATGTTAATTAAAGACAAGTATTCAAGTATTGAATCGTGAATATGGGTATAATTGTAACAACTTTGGTTTTCTTTCAATATCGAAACCGAATAAGTTAAAAATTGAAGCTATAAGTTTCCAACAGACACGAATGATTCAAATATGTTTGAATACGTAAATTAAAGACAAACATTCAAGTAGTGAATTTGCTGTCAACATTTAAAAAAAAGTAACATTATATTGAGTAAACAGTAGATATAATTTCCTAAGTTTTATTCATGTAAAATTCTAAAACTATTTAGAAAGAAGTTTGGTACAAAATTGAATATCTTTTGTTTCTTCATTTTACATATGTTAAAACCTCGTTTGCTATACATTTTTTTTTTCGTTGTTCGTAAGTTCTGCTAACAAAGATTATGTGTAATAGCACGTAACTTTGGCGTCCATTGTGTTCGTGCATCGATTGTGTGTTATTACGTTGAATGCGGGAATTCTGGATTCTCTCTCTGTACGACTGACTTCTTGTTTCGCCGTGAAAAGGGGTAGAAGACATTGACGGATTACCGAAACGACGATTATCCTTGGCTCGTTAGATTTATTAGCCCGATGAATAATTATAATTGCTGTTTTCATTTTATACCCCAAGCAATAAATTTCTACAACTTTACAAATTAAAGCCACTTTAGACGTGCTTTTTTTTAGTTATATTAAATCAAATTTACAAAATGTTCTTAGATCATAATATAAAGAAAGTATTATATTAAATATTTAAACATAACTTTAGCTAAATACATGATAATTTAACTCAATCAAATTCAATTTACATATACTTTCGAAATGTTCATTTATTCTCTCTTTAAATCAGAAAAAACAGAAATTTTAGAAAAAAAAAACATAATATTTATATTAAAAATTTAACATATAAATTTAAAGAATTCTATAATATAAAAAAAATATAAACAAAATTAGTACTTAACGAATAGTTATAGAATACAAGAATTTTTTGTATTTTATTGGGGATAATCCAGAGATTTCATGAGATGTACAACAAGATTATCTGAATACACCAAAGCCATAAATCTGCTCAGTGCAAGCTTCCCAATTACATGCATGTAAAACTACATTTCTGAGATTAGCATCAAATTGGATCGAAAATACAAATAGGAATACATGTATCATAAATCACGAGAAGTAACTGCAATACGTTTTTTTTTCTAATTAAGAAATATTACTTAAAATTTAAATTTAAAGCTTATTTTTTCAATAAAAGACAAACTAAAAAATAAAAATAAATCAATAAAATTATGTATGAAAATGTTTAAATTATTTAAATAAATATGAAAGTTTAGTTAGATAAATGTTAAATAAACCCATATTAACTTTATGCTTGATTGAATGATGTAATTACTATTTGTCTTTTGCGAATTGTAGGGGTGGAAGGGAAAATAATAATCACCAATTTCTGTAGAAAGTAGGTGGGCGGGAGAAAAAGAAAGAAAATGGTGGAGAAGAATCGCAGAGGCAGCATCTTTGATGATGTTATTCATCCATAACTTTTGCTAATTTATTATTCATATCTGCGAAGAAAAAGCGGGAAGAAAGAGGGACCCCGAACTTCTTTATATCTCCATCCCACGGATAATTAAGCTGATTGAATGGATTCTTCGTAATAGTTCTTTTCTGAACGTTTTAAGCCGCACGTGCAATTACAGCTTTAGAAAGAGAAGAAAAAAAAACAAGTAATATTTGATTATATATTTTAGATATT